AATTTAAAGAGGGTCAAGACTGAAGTAACCTTTGGACGCGTATGCTAAATTAATCGAGTCAAAAATTTGCTGCTCGTAGCAATGTGATGAAAAAGACTTCATGGATAATTCAATAGGAAATGATACACCGTCTTAGAGCCACCAGTTCACAAACCGTGGCCGAATATTTCGCTGTCGCTGATGTGAGATTGCTGGTTGCGATTTGGGTGTCGCACATTTCCTGAATCACTGAATGCTCTGGGCATCTTGGAATATGTCATGTGACTCGCTTAACCAGCTTCGGTTACAGTCTGTAATCGAGACACCTCGTCTGCTCGTGGCCAAACGATATACTCGCCAGCTACTAGCCTGGAAGTGTCACGTTCGAAGTTCACGGGAGGTTGATGAGATGTGTAATCCCAGCAAGGAAGAAACCGTCGTACAGTACTCGCAATAGATTAACCTCAACGATAGACTGAAGTTTTCTATTGTAAATTTACAAAGCCTACGTGGTCAACAAATTATTACTCATGGAAACACCTGGGCTCACTTAAAAGGCACAGAGATTGAAATCTATTAAGGCCAACAACTCAGAATATGATAAACGTGCGGGCTGGTTGATGGAACGTTTTCAAAAACGTTTAAGTCCCTTTTACAAGGAAGACTCAGCTGAACCCTAAAAATGTTTTGACGAGATTTTAGTGAGTTTACAGTTGGCTTTATATTTATAAATGTTGACTCCCCTTTTAGTAACATCCTTCGTCATGAACTATTTGTATGACCATGCTGTATCCTAGCAAACATTCACATGTCTACCTGTGGAACTTATCCTACTGAGAACAGGAGAGATTTTCTATATGATGAGGTTCTCGTGGTTATTCGTCTCGAACCGCAAATCGGCGTTTATCTATCTGTCTCCTGACCACAGTCGAATGGTTTTGACGTTCGCAGGATACAACAAACGCTGATGTTTGTCGCTTGTCACACGCGGCCGGCAGAACGATGGCATTCATTTACGTAAGGATGCGCAAACGCAGGTAAGTTTTGCTTGCTTTGATTTTCCTTGATCCTTTCTGCTTACACACACTGACCATCATACCCAGAGTCCTCCTCATGATCCCGGCCGAAAGCCATGTGATCAAACGCAGGTAAGTTTGCTTTGCTTTGATTGATTGCGCATCCGTTCCGCCTACACGAGTTTCATCAGTAACCTATATCCAGGGTAACTGACCATCATACCCACAGTCCCTCTCATGATCCCGGCCGAAAGGCATCCATGTGATCAAGACAGAAATGCATTGCTCAACCATCATCAACCGGATGGTATACGTCATGATAAACTCAAAGAAATTTTACTGTCCTGTAGTGTCTGTTCATCGAGCGTTTGCTCGCACTAGCGAAATCGACGTGGTGTAACTCGACCTGTTTGAGGGCTTTTGATCTAGTGTCAGGAGAGTTATTTCTTACCTCTTTATACATTTTTAGTAGGCACATCATCTTGATCAACTGTATGGGAAATTCACTGATATTTCATCGCTCGTTTCTGCGGTCCACACTCTCAACACATAGATTTCCGAAGGACCTCGATCATCTGATTTCTTTGGCATCCTTCAACAACAACGTTTACACATTATGTTTGTATATTTTTGTAGGATACTTTACCACATCTCTCCATCACCCGATGGTGATGAAAGAGCACCATCGGTCCAAGTTTGCTCGCTGCGTTGATTTTCAGCTAGTCGGAATGCCCAAAAGGACTTGGGGCGTCAACCCACGATCGACCTTATCCTCAATCTACAATTATTCACTGTTGTTTAGCTATTCACAATTTCTCAGCAACTTTCCTGGTTAATGCACACTGAATGTGACGTGAACTCGTGCTTAGTCAATTAGTACTTGGCATTCGACAGAAGCCTTCAAGTTGTTGCCTGTCCAAGACTTTATAAGTTATGCACGATTAAATACCACTAAACGTCATTAAATACACGGAAAGCGTAAGTTTCTTCTTGGACTTCCTGGAAATTTAGAATGCTATTTAGTTCTAATTCATTATTTTTCTCTCTGACCCACAATTTTCTGAAAAATTCGGATTCACTCCACTTTGGCGTACCCCAGATGAAGCTCAGTGTAACTATTGTTCGATTTCTGACCTTGTTCATCAGGGAGCCGTGCGATTTTCCAACCATCACTTGTGCCGGTAACAGTCCACACCTCCCCCAAAATCCCACTTCAAGTTGCATTACTGCTTCCATGACAGCTGAGACTCCGGAAAGGTCTCCAACTTTCCAAGTCATTCAAATGCATAACGCATCCCCTCAGTTTTAGTCACTTCCATTGAGTTCCACCCAATAGTGCCGCTCTGACACAGTCTCCCGAAGATCCGCAGGACCGAAGTACTAACCCGTTCTCTAGTTTCTCATCTTCATTCAGTTTTTATCTGTTCAAAACTAGGTCTGAGGTTTTTTCACCGTCGACAAGCAGTCGATTTTATGTTGATCAAACCGTATACCGCACGATGAGCAAAGACTGATCATTTGTTAATGATCCACTCATGAGAGGTGTTCTATGCGAATGGTTCTGCCTTTAGGACACGGATCACGTAGAAATTCACAAGATTTAGATACCCACGACTAGGCCTTATCACACTGCGGCAATGCGCTCATGCATTAAACTAAGGCAATCAGTGGTTGTCCTCATCATTTTTCCTATTAAACTGGACGAATTAAAAAGGTTTCCCATTGCATTTGTTTTTCAATGGTTCAACACGGTATTCCCAAAGGGACACTAAGTGCAATGAATCGATTGAATTCTTTGATCCGGATTCAAAATATATGCAGGATTCGATGAGTTGAATGCTTCGGAAACGCTGTGTTCACTTGCAAAAGGATACCATTTGCGCGCGATATTAGGTAGTCAACAAAGATTAACGAACAGATCAACCCATGTCTGGCTTGGGCCCCGAAAAAGGCTATTGCTTTCTTTTAAATGCCTCAAAGTTATACTGAAGCTTTGGAGTTAGTATCGTCGACTGCGTGTAGAAAAACCGTTAGACGCTTAATAGCCTTCTTAAGCTGTTAATTCCCGAAAAGCAACGAAATACCATTTCTTTTTGCTTTGATCCATTCCGATCCATTCCACTCGCACCGTCACCAAGAAATTTGCGCGGTTTGAACTTCCAAAGTTCCATTCAACCAAGCTGGGATACGTTCGGATAGGGAATGGTTACGGCACGTGATGCGTGGGAGCGATATGTGGATGTATGAAATACTGAAAAGAAAGGAACCTTAAAATTTTGAAACGCTCCAAACCGTTCATGGTTCGATTCAGTTTAGTCCATGAAAACAAAGTGTTTGCACCATGATGGTTATGCTATGCATAAGAATGGGAAGGGATCTTTTGTTCATTATAGAGCGAGGAATCACTCAAGACGGTCCCTCTTGTGTGAGTATTTAGTATGATAGGTTTGGCAGATATGATCATTTCGCAACTGCTATGTACTTCGAGTGCATCTCTCATTGTTCGATGTATGAAAGACGTAACGAAACTTTTGGGTGCAGTCGGTGAGACTCGCCTTCCAGGGTGGCGACCACATGATCCCCACTGGGCCTGGTTGGAGACGCTGCAAGATATGGCGGCTAATCGATATCAGTAGCAATCTTGCTATTAGTTTCTAACCCAAATGACTCAGTAAGTGTCTGGGGGTGTAGCCACCTCGGAATGACTGTGGCAGGCTATCACTATGTCCCTTCTCCGCCTACTTTTATTCTTTCCTTCAGAATAACACTATCGGGTAAATCATGTGTGCATAGCAGTGAGGCATCAGTGTTGAAGACTGATGTCAATATGTCATTGACGATGATGGTGACCTGTTTTTACTTTCTATCTTAACCTATTCTGGTCTGCTGAAGACAATTTGGTTTCAAGGTGAGTAAGATTGTACTCAGCGGTGACAGTGATCTTATTGAATAGGATATAGCGAACCATCTGAACCCGATGGAACGATGTAACTTTTCTCCAAACACCACGTAAGTTTCACAACGTTCATGCCGTCCGGCGTTTGGGATCTACAAGATTGGCTACAAAAATCTGGACAAACCATCGCTTTGTGGTTGAAGGTCAGGCAATCACACTTTCAGCTAAATGGTGTACAGGGTATCATGAAAACCGGACGACAACTGATATAAGCTAAATCAAGGTAAATCAAGGTAAATCAAGGTTGTGTTGGTCTAAAAAGCATTTTGCTTTACAACGACCAAAGGATATTGGTGTGTGTGTATGTATACAGATAAACGGAATGATATGACGTATGTTCTATTGTTTGTAATCTGCATCTCAAATGTTGATGAGGGAAGTTGGGTGAGATCTTATGTATTCGTCAAGCGAATGTTTGAAAGTCTCGAGGTTACCACAATCCACAACAGATGTTGGTAGTTTGTTCCACGTGAGGGATACGCGGACTGAAAAAAAGTAGCGCCGACAGTTAATGCGGGAACATGGAATGTCAACGGCCAATGGATTCCGTCGGGTCTGTCGGTCCAAATTAACTGTGAACAAATGTTTTAAAGGGTGATTAGGGGTGTTTATTATCTTGAACATCAGGATGAGGTCTCCTCGTATACGCCGATAAGTTAAATCAAACAAATCCAGTTTACGTAGCCTTTCACTGTAGGGAACGTTTCGGAGGCCAATGACCAGCTTGGTCGCGCGGTGGTAGATACGCTCTAGCAGTTGTGTATCCTTTTGCAGCCATGGAGACCAGGCTTGGATCGCGTATTCCATTGTCGGCCGGAGATATGTGTTCATGATAATAGGGAGAATTTCAGGCGTAAAACGATAAAATATTCTCCTAAGCATCCCGAGCAGTGCCGAGGTCTTGCGATATACTGATAGACAGTGTTTACTCGGCTTCAGGTTGCTAGAAATCCAGACGCCGAGGTCTTTTTCCTCAGCCACCCATTCCAGTTCATTGGATCCCAGTTTGTATGGGAAGTGGTAGCTCTTCCCCAGATTTATGAGTTTGCATTTCTGGAAATTCAGCGGCAGCCGGTTTTGGATGGACCATTCGTCGATTCTTTGCAGATCTTGCTGTAGCGCATCACAATCAGCCTTTCCATGAATTTCAGACCAGATTTTTATGTCATCAGCAAAAAGTACGGTTTTGCACTGCAGAAGTTTCGGCAGGTCATTCATGTATACCAGGAACAAAATTGGACCAAGAACCGAACCCTGAGGGACACCACTTGTGGCGGCAATTTTATCGGAAAACGCTCCATCGACACGAACTTGGACCGAACGGTCACTCAAATAGTCTTTCAGCCAGCTCAACAGATTTCCCGTCACGCCATACATTTCAAGTTTCCGAAGAAGGATACTGTGATCGACTCGATCAAAGGCTTTGGATATATCCAAGTAACAGGCATGTACAGTAACTCCCGCATCGACTGCTCGTGTCCAGTCATCGAGTGTCACGAGGAGATTGGATAAACAAGAACGATTCTGTCGAAATCCGTGTTGTTTATCGCTCAACAAGGAGTGAATTTCAAGGTGCGATTTCAGGGCTTCTGCTATAATTCGTTCCATTACTTTTGATATTACTGGGAGAAGAGTGACAGGTCTGTAGTTAGATGCACACGTTCTGATACCTCCTTTGAATATGGGGGCTATTATCCCGCATTTCCAATCCTCTGGTACCAACCCTTCTTCCAGAGAACTAGCGAACAGTTTAGCCAGAGGATAGCTAAGTGGTTCAGCGCAGTGGCGCAGAAGCAGTGGTGTAACGCCATCCCCACCAGGTGAAGTGTGTACCTGTAAGCCGCGAAGGTGTTTGACAATGTTAGCCCGATCAATATGCACGTCCGATAAAGTTTCGTCCGTTAGTACCTCCACAGTTTGTATAGGAGCGCGGGTATCTTCAGGAGAAAACACGGAAGCATAAAATGTGGCAAGGGCATTAGCTGTTTCAAACGCATTTGCAGTCATTCCCGATTCTGTCTTTATGGCAGATATACCTGGTTTAACTTTAGCCTGCGCATTCACGAATTGATACAATAGTTTGGGGTTTTTCTCCATCCTAGTCATCAATTTGAATTGCTGTTGTAGTTTGTCTTCCTTGATTAGTGACGTGACTTTATTCCGCAACTTTCGGTACGACTCCCAGTGTTCGTCGGTCCGGTTCGTTTTATATTGAAACCAAGCGATGTTACGTTCTGTAATCCATTTTCTTGTTCGACTCCTCACTGTGAACATCTGTACGCAGGTGGCTCGAGGCACCTCTGTCGAATTGTCTGCAATCAAGGTCTGCAGCTGGGCTATGAATGATTTCCATCGCCTATTAGTATTTTCGTGTTCGTCATCCAGCATATTTAGGTCCTGGAAGGCTGAGATTATCTCCCGAAAATTGGTCTTCAGAACATATTTATGTGGGTCGCTTAAACGTACGGAGGAGCAAGTGAAATCGAACAAGAGCACGAGATGGTCGCTCTTTCCCAGTGGTGGTCTATATATGATTTGTTCAACCATAAATGGCTCACTAGTTAGTATAAGGTCAAGTAACGAAGGTTGATCTGTTCCACGAAACCTCGTACATTCGTTAACATGGTTGAATAAAGGTACCAAATCTAACAGCTCCTGAAAGTGTGCTTCAACTGAGTTGAGCGAGTATGAAGCGACGAAAAGCTGGGGAAAATTGAAATCACCCATAATGAGAATGGGAATGGAGTAGTAAGAGCATACGCGACGGATTCGGTCACATATACTGAATGTGTGAGTGTCCATTGCGGTTGGAGAGCGGTAAATGACACCAATAATGCACGCATCTATCTTGTTTGACTTCAGCATACACCAGAGGGTATCTTCAAGGATGAGATTAGCGTCAGGTATTTCAGCACATTGAAGACTACTGTCATAATATAGTGCAACTCCACCGCCATGGGTGGCTCGATCGTGTCGTATAACACTCATGTTTGTAATTTCGATTTCCTTGTCCGATATTTCCGCTTGCAACCAAGTCTCAGTCACTGCCACCAAGTGAGGTTTGTATTGGTCGCAAAAGGCGTTTAATTCTGCCACTTCACTGGGCAGACATTGGGTATTTGTATAGAGGCACTTAAGGCTAGTCGTTGTGGTTAATCCTGCTGTGCTGCAACGCACGACTCCCGGGGAGCCAGCAGTACGGGGGTAGCGTCACTCACTGTTAAATCACGTGATTCACATCACATAGTCAAATGTCAACTGGCTTCTCTTTTGACAATGTGTAAAACGGAAGAGTCATCATGCATGTTATGAAGGGCTGTTCACTCGGAGCAGTAGTGGTAGTCTGCTGATAAGCATTTCGCACTCAAGTGTTAACTTTGTGATGGTTGATACAACTTGAAGAATTCCTCGATCCGGCTGGAAAGAACACTTAAAAAAGGATGGCTGTTCACTTGTTGAAACCACTGAATCCGAATGCGGTGAAAATGTGCTGTTTCCCCCTCGGTGTTGGGGAACTTTTTTGAAACTAAGACACACTGGCAATCGACAAAATCTTCACAGCCTATATTCGCGAGACGAATGCCATCAGTTCGGTTGAATGCAACTCAATATGTATCATACATACATGGGCTAAAACCACCTTAGACGAACATGTGCGTACTTTTCAGGTCCTCGGCGTTTGAACTAATCCACCTCAACCATCCATGAGAAGATACAGCCTACAGCAGTCAGGTATTAACATTTTCGACAAAAGTAGGTGGGCATCGATGTGCGACAGGTTTTTTTGCCCCAAATGAATGTGTTGACCTGGTATACGTACATATTTTGAAGTAATGAATGCTATTTATGTGCTGAGTCAAAGAAGTATCGAGATGTAAATGAGAACAGGATGGCGATTCAAACCATCTTCCTTCGTGACAAATGTAAAACAAGGTACGTTAGAGTATAAGGAGTATCGTCATAAAACAAAGCGTTGAATAGCATATGAGGCTCTACAACTCGAATGCGAAGTGGTGGACGGATGGTGTGAATCCGCAGGTTTTGTGCACAGAAAGTCCTCGCTGTGTTCTGATCAATAATTTTGTGGTTTGGTTTGCGCGGCAAAACCTTGATGCCCAAGGTTTATCAACCTGATGGTCTTGTTCAGAGATGGTTGCGCATTCAACCACACCCCCGTTACGTCATTGATTGGGATCTGTGTCCAACTCCTTTCCGGGCAGGGATCACTGAGCGCTATCTGAGGAAATAATTTGCGTACAAACCTAAAACAGTGGATTTGGAGGGTGTTGCAGAAGACTCCTATTTAGGATGGTTGAAACATCTAAAAATACAGAGGCTTCCAGATTTTATTGTGATTACCTTTCATACGGTTCAGTCAATAAGTCCCAGCCGATCCTATCAGAGATAATCAATATTTGATTGCTCCGCGTGTGTATTCAAGTCCTTAGAAGGTTGACACCAGAGAAAATCTCGTGACTTATATGGGTATTTGAGTAATGTTGTTGTTATTTTTTGCGGGCAACGTTTCATTGTAGGTTTGAGTCATCAATTATTGATGACTCATAGGACGCCCCACGCAACCAAACCAGAGAAGAGGATCTATGAGTGTGGAATAACGATATTTTTTCACCTCTCCTTTATAGTGCAATATTTTATGACGTACTGATTGAAACTAGCGCG